TTCTGGTGAATCTAGTCAGCCTATCTAGAGGTCTTTGTTTTAGGAAGGTCAGCTGTTCCTCATCCAGCGGTAATCAGTTGTCTATATTCCTTTGGATAAGATTAGGATCTGCTGCTTATTTTCCTAGTTCTGTGCTGGGTTACTATCTGGGAGTCCCTTTGGCCACCCTGGCCAACAACTCAAAAGAAGGTATTGCTTGTCTGGCATTGTTGCTTGTTATATAGCCTTTAGCTATACATATGGACTCTTATGTCTGACCCAATTAGTATAGGCCTCAAAGTGTGTCTGTTAAATATCCAAGAAGGTTAGTTCCACCAGTCTGGTACTTTTAATTACATTGTGTCATGTAGATAAATCTTGGGCAAAGACCAGTTGTTCTCAGATAAACCTTACCTAGACATATATTTCTTGATCTGCTATGTATAATTTGTCAGTAGGTTGTAGGAGTAATATGGTTCTCTCTGGTTTTCAAAACTAGCTAGGCATTGTTTATCTCTCACATTGTCTCACCCCTCCATCATGGTTTTCCTCTTTAGATGCTGGCTTGGACTTCAGGAGGCTGCCCTGGCTCATTGGAGTAGGTGCCCAAGTGCCTTGGGGCTGTGGTGCTTTCTCTCTAAGTCCTGTTGCCTCTAATATCCTTGAATGGTGTTGCTCAGACTTTTCTTGTGCATACTAAGGACTTAAGGCTCAGACTAAAGTGTAGACTCCCAGGATATCCACAAGTCTGGGGAGAAGGAAGCCAAGCCGAGTAATCTGAAGAGTTTAAAATCACACTGCATATACGATACATTGACTCATTCAGCTGGGGTTGGGGCTGTGGACCTGGAGGTCTCTGGCCTAACAGAACAATGCAGCTATCCCCTGTCCTACCAGGCCCCTCACCAGAGCAAATATGAAGGGACCATGTGTTCTAAGGAACAGGCAAAGCGGCTTACCTGGCTGATGTCGCTGGTCCATGCTGCCTTCTCCTGTCTGGATGAAGCGACCAAGATGACTGTGAAGGGTGGGGAATCCTTTGGCTCCACCCCGATCTTAAAGTCCAAATGGTCTATGTCCTGGCCAGTTCCTTTGGCTTTTTCAGTGACAAAACATGAAGTTAGCAGAGTGAGTGTGGGGGCTGGTGGAACTGGATGGGGTTCAGCTGATCCCTGTCTTGGACTCCAGTGGGGGCTCTGGGAGGGCACCAGGCTACTGGCTGATACTTTCAGAATGTGGTTTTTTTTTTGGTTTTGTTTTATACTAAGTGAGTGGTTACTATTTCAAACATGGAGAAATGAGGATCTGGCATGTAGAAGTAGCTTACAGTGACAGAGAGTCCAGATTCTGAGCCTGAATAAGCAAGTGTATCCTCTGCCCTCACTACACTAATGGGGAACTGAGATCCTGAGTCAGGACACAGCTAAGACTGCTAACAGGATAGCAGCTAAGCAGGGGTTGACCCAACTTCACAGTCCGGCCCTCCTACTAACCTCTGGGACCAGGAACATTGACATCTAAAACTTTTACGGACTGGGCTAAACATTCAGTTCAGTTTAGTGCTCCCCAGTAGAAGTAAATCCTGTGTATTTTATTGCTGCTCTCAACCTGGAAAGCTCTGTGAACTTTTTTTTAAATTCTCACTTTTCAGTGCTCATAAATGGAAAGACTAAGTTCACAGCTTCAAGGCCTTGCCAGGGCATGTACCTTCACTGGGGTGAACTCTTAGGGACTGCCTGCCTCAGTCTGGGCTGTTCTATAGCCTGTCTGTATCCGTGTCAGGGGCCATCATATTTCAGCATCTAATCTTCCTTTCAATAAATGCCAATGCTGGGCCCCAACCTTGCTGGGTAAGCACGTGTGTGCGCGTGTCTGTGTGAGCGCATACACACTAAGCAGCTTACACACTGACCTTCTTCCTCTGTGCTTTCTGGTTCTTCCAATAAGGTGCAGTCGATGAGGGATATGACTCCATTCTGAAAAAGAGCAACAGGCATCACCGTGGAGCAGGAGTCCATGTGCTGGATTAGGAGTTCCAGAACATTGTGGTAGGAAGGGCCCTTTCATTAAGCATCCGCATGTCCACATATGTATATATGTAGTGTATGCCAAGTGGTCATTTTGCCTTGAAAGCTGAAGGATGATAGCTTTATATCCAAAGCCCACTGATGTGGGTGAAATAAGATTACCTCAGGGAGACTGTACTTAATGAAGGCCAAGGCCAGGTTGTGGGCAGACAGGTCAGAGTTTGTTGTTTGGACTCCTCTCACCCCATCAGCATCTCTGAGCATCACCCCATAGCCCTAAATCTGTAAAACTTTGAAATTCTCAGTTCTTGGCCAATCCTTCACAGTACCAATGGGGAACCAGGCTAGTTTTATGGATCCATCATATGTATTGCTAATCCCATTTTACAACTAAAGAAATGAATTCAGAGAGGTTAAGTGTCTTGCTCAAGTCTCTTAATTAACTATTGGTGGGGTCCAGAGACAGCCTCAGAGGGCTGATCCCAGTACCAGGTCAATTACTCATTTCTGAAGAGGCAAAAAAGTGCCTCCATCCTGTGTGAACACTGCTTGGGTATGAGATCTTTTGATATCGTATTGAGAAATAAGAGACTCTGGAGGTAGTAAGCCACATTCACAGATTCTTTGGTATGCCGCCCTTTGAAAGCAGAAGTATAATTCCCTCCCTCTTAAGTAGGGGCTGGGCTTAGTGACTCCAGTCCAATGAAAAGAATCAGGCAATGATGGTATGCAACACTGGAGACTATGGCCTTCTGATTACACTCTTGTTCTCCCTGCCCCGAC